GACGCGCGGCCCCCGTGACGCCGCGACGAGACGACGTGAAGGGGGGACGCGCGGCACCCAGGGCGCCTCGACGGGTGACGGGACGGGGGGGACGCGTGGCCCTCGTGACGCCACGACGGGCGACGGGAGAGGGCGCCGCGCGGGCCCCCCGGGGCACCGCGACGGGCGACGGGAGAGGGCGCCACGACGGGCGACGAACCGCCGTGCGCACCCGGGGCGCACGGCGGGCAGAAAACCGCCGCGCGCCACGAGCGCGCGGCGGGATGAAAAAGTGTCGCGCGCCCAGGGCGCGCGACCAGCAGAACAGTAGCAGCGGAAGCAGTAGGCGGGCCCACAGGCCAGGAGCATAAATGCTCTGAAACCATGTCAGAATAGTAAGCACAACGAGGAGCCATAACTAGGGTTTACCTAGCTAGGCAAGAGAGAAATGAACAATAGGAGGATTGGACTAGCAACAGTTGGGATACAAATAGGAAACCCTAAGGGGCCGTACTCACTATAGAGTACCCCACTGCAGGCTAGACAAGCATTATAATCTGACAGTTTCCTGTGACCATTCAAGCATTTGCTATATTTATAGCATCTTGGAACAAGTTTGGTGCCATTCGCAGCATCTGGTAGGAAGATATGACGTTTCGAACAATTGAGCAGGGAAAACTATGCAAGATAGGCCTGTGCGACACGTGGTGCCAAATTATCGTCCGTCTGTTATTTTGAACAAGGTTTCCTGTGACCATTCAAGCATTTGCTATATTTATAGCATCTTGGAACAAGTTTGGTGCCATTCGCAGCATCTGGTAGGAAGATATGACGTTTTGAACAATTGAGCAGGGAAAACTGTGCAAGGATAGGCCTGTGCGACACGTGGTGCCAAATTATCGTCCGTCTGTTATTTATGAAAAAGTTTCCTGTGACCATTCAAGCATTTGCTATATTTATAGCATCTTGGAACAAGTTTGGTGCCATTCGCAGCATCTGGTAGGAAGATATGACGTTTTGAACAATTGAGCAGGGAAAACTGTGCAAGGATAGGCCTGTGCGATACGTGGTGCCAAATTATCGTCCTTCTGTTATTTTTAACAAGGTTTCCTGTGACCATTCAAGCATTTGCTATATTTATAGCATATTGGAACAAGTTTGGTGCCATTCGCAGCATCTGCTAGGAAGATATGACGTTTCGAACAATTGAGCATGGAAAACAGTGCAAGGATAGGCCTGTGCGACACGTGGTGCCAATTTATCGTCCGTCTGTTATTTTGAACAAGGTTTCCTGTGACCATTCATGCATTTGCTATATTTATAGCAGTGTCAAACAAGTTTGGTGCCATTCGTAGCATCAGGTAGGAAGATATGTTGTTTCAAACAATTGAGCACAGAAAACTGCCCGAGAATATGCCTGTGCGACACGTGGTGCCAAATTATCGTCTCTTTGTCGTTTTAAATTATGTTTCTTTTGATCATTAAAGCATTTACTATATTGAGAGCGTGTTTGGAAAAGATTTGGTGTCATTCGCAGCATCTGGTAGGAAGATGTGCGGTTTCAAACACTTGAGCAGGGAAAATTGTGCATGGATAGGCCTGTGCGCAACATGTCACTGTTTCAACATCTGGTGTTTTTTTTACCTCTTTTTCTTCACACATTCCCTATTATATCCTATTCTCTAGCCATAGGAACTGGTTTGAGCTCGTTCACACAACTACGCAGCACGTGGCCCTTGTTTGTGCGTTCCATGGTGAATCTGCGCAAGGATAGGCATGTGCGCAACATGTCAGCTCGCCAACGTTTGAATGCCTTTTTTTGCGGAGATTCACTCGACAAGGGTAGTGAGGTAGACTACGGGGGTTGGCACGAACTACTGAGAGTGATCGTAGCTTTGCTTGCGTTCCTTAGCACTTGCGCATTCACGGGAGAAGTTGGGAAGAGTTTCACTAGCAAAGTTGGAATTACAGAATGATTGAACAAGCAATGACAGAATGACTACATCAGGCACCTAGCAACCCTGTAGCTAGCCTGGTCGACCGCCAGCACAGCTTGGTCGACCGCCTGCCAGCGTTGCGTAGAGGAGCCGCGCCAGCACTGTAGAAAGGTGACCTGCCAACACTGCAAGTCGACGGCGTGCCAACGCTGCAGCAATGCGGATGTCCAGCGTTGCCCCGTAAAAGACAGCAATGCGCATGCTCGCAGGTGTGTGCAGACGATTGGCCCGACTTGCACTGCTAAGCATCCGTCTGCTATTGTCTGCGCCTGACGAGCCACATCGACTTCGGGATACCAGCCCGAAGTCGCCTTCGCCATCGCGACCTCGACGACGTTCGCGTGCCTCCGCATAACTCGTCGAGCAGGTTACCCGGTCGACCTGGTCGACTATCAGGTGCTTCCGGTCGACCACCACCGCCTCTTGTCGACCACCAGGTGCCTCTGGTCGACCACCAGCTGCCCCTGTAGTATTTCCCCTGTCAGGTCGACGGACTGCTCCGTCGACCTCCTGGTCGAACTGCAGGTCGACGGGCAGCTCCGACGACCTCTGTCAATGGGAGTTGTGTTTGGCCCCGTCCTCGCTTCGGCGGAGCCGACTTAGTGGTCGGGTGTGACGGGAGCAGCCAACCTGCAGCAGTGGGCGAGCTGGTCGACAGGGCTGGTCGACCTGTACGGGGGCCACTGCAAGGGCGCCGGCTTTGGGAGGGCGCCGACTTCGGGGAGGTCGTCTTGGAGGTCGACCTGTGTAGGGCGTCGACTTGGCGACGCCGACTTGGGGCAGCCGACTTAGGTGGCCGGCTGACAGTATTGCTGGTCGACCTGGTGGCTGGTCAACCAGGAGTGTTGTCGACCCGATGGTTGACTGAACCTGGTGGTCGACCAAAGGGGGGGGGCGATGTCGACCTCGATAGGGGAGATTGGGGACGTCGAGCTGGAGGGCGTCGAGGAGTAGGACGCCGAGCAGTTGGACGTCGAGCAGGAGGGCGCCGGGCTTGTGGAGCCGGCAGCCCACTAAACCCTAGACCCGTAGTGGTTGCCCGGTCGACGGGGATACCCGGGCGACGTGTGCGAAGGTCGCCGGGGTGACTTCTGCGAGGCCGACCTCGGAAGTGGTATCGCGAGGTCGACGTGGCTGGTGGGCGCAATCGCTGGTGTGAACTCGACCTAGGCGTCTGCACTGTGCACGTGACGAGGAGTAGTGCACCAACCAGCCGCGCGCACCTGCGAAGCAGGTGCACCGTTGTCCTGCGGGTGCAACGCTGTGCATCCGACTAGCTGCAGCGTTGGCACACCGTGGACTTGCAGCGTTGGCAAGCCGCGACCTTGCTCTGCTGGAGCGCGGTCGACCAAGTCGTGCTGGCACACGGTCGACCGTGCTGTGCTGGAAGTCGACCAGCAGCCTTGCTAGGCCTGATGTAGTCTTGCATGCCAATGTTGTTGCTATCATTGTTGTCAACCTTTCTTAGTGAAACTCTTGCCAAATTGCCCCGTGAACTAGCAAGAAGTGTGTGCACTAGGAAAACGACTAAGGAACGAACGCAGAGATCACACGAGCACCCGTGCCTAGCCCGTAATCTAGCTCCCATTGCAGTAGTTATCTGTGCAACCTCCCGGTCGAACTGCAGGTCGACGGGCTTCTCCGGCGACCTCCCGGTCGAACTGCCCCTCCTGATCGACGGTCCACCCGTCGCCCATACCAGTCAGTTGCAGTTGTCGAGCTCCCTGGTCGACAGCAACACCGCAGCGGTCCCCTGCAGCACGACGAAGCCTCTCGAGCAGCTCTCCCACTGTGAATGGTCGGCTACTTCTCCCGTACACCCGACCAAGTCGTCGGCGTTGCCCAAGCGAGGGCGGGGCCAACACTCCACTCCTGTTAACATTTCTTACCTCGATTTCTTCACACAGTTTCCTATTAAGTACTATTTCTTAGCCATAGGGACTCGTTTGAGCTAGTTCGCACAACTGCGGAGCACGTGGCGCATGTTTGTGCGCTCCATGGTGAATATGTGCAAGCGATAGGCATGGACGCAACATGTGAGCTCGCCAACGTTTAGATGCCTTTTTTACCTCTATTTCTTCACACAATTCCCTAGTACCTGTGGTTGTCGTTGTCGCTGTCGTTGTCGTCGTCGTCGTCGTTGTCGTCGTCGTCGTCGTTGTCGTCGTTGTTGTGGTCTGAGTGGCGTATTGAGTAATGGGCGTATTGAGTAACGGGCGGAGAATGGTCGGGCGTTGTACGTGTTATGCAGGCGAGCGGTTAGGAATTCATAAAATTTCCTTAGAAAAATGCATGATCTAATCTATATAATATGGGTTTGATTAGGTGAAACAAGCTGTGTGATGAACAGAGTACACCACGTACTATTTAGTTTTCTTCTCAAGCCCCCATATGAGCGTGGGTTGATCGGTGCCACTCCTTGTTTATCCCCGCTTTCTATCGACGGATTTCCGCTTTCGACGCAACTCCAGATATCCTCCCCCACCTGCTTTTCTGCCACGCAACAGGCGAGCGTGCCAGTTGAAACGATTTTTAATCTGGGCTGTCGATCCCGCCAAACTCATTCCATCGCAGAATCGTGACCATAGAACCTGACAACCAACCCTAGTTTGAGTCCCTCTTCATTCTCTCGTCGTTCCTCCGACTCGTTATTTCTTCCATGTGCTCCCATTTCTGTTCAATCGTCCCTTCAACTTCGACTTCAATCCTCGTATTGTGAGATTAGACTGACGATTTTCAGCCAGCATTCGTCCCCATGACACTTTTTCTCACGCTATTCCTCATCTTCGGCGCGTTGTAAGCATTGGCGACGGTTGATCGCGACCTGCGGGCTCCACACAGTCGCAACGGTAGGCTTGTATCGTGAGCCTTTGCTTAGTTTGCTATGAAACAAGTATTCCGGACCGTGCCTTTCCTCTTGTTCTTGTTCATGTTTCCAACTTCCCTTTTTTCTCACGTATTTCTCTCCCCCCCGTTTCCTTTTTTTACACGTAGCAGCGCGCGGAAATTCCACCCCTGCGCCACATGCGCCGTGCTGTCGTTCTCCCACAAGATGTAGGCGCCGCTGTCGCGCAGGCCGCCGTTGGCCTGAACCCTCCTGTCGCTCAACCATGCGATGGGCGGCTCCCCGCAGCCGCGCAGGCCAGCGCTGCTTGTCGCGCCGCTGCTTCGCATGCCAGCGCTGGTGTGCACTATGATGTCCCGCACCTAGCGCTGGCGTGCACTGCGATGTCGCTCACCCAGCGCTGGCGTGCACTGCGATGTCGCTCACCCAGCGCTGCCGTGCACTGCGATGTCGCGCACCCAGCGCTGCCGTGCACTGAGAGTCGCGCACCCAGCGCTGCCGTGCACTGCGATGTCGCTCACCCAGCGCAAGGCTGCCCCCCGCAGTCTCCGCGCCCAGCCTCCCCTTGTTCCGCTCACCCACCCCTTTCCGCGCACGATTTTCCCCGCCTGCAGCGCATTAGTGGGCGACGATCGCAGTGCGTGCGTGGTGGAGCTGCTGCCGTTGTGAGCGCGGCGATTTGTGATTTTGAGCAGGTGAGTGTAGCGTGGTGAGTGTAACGAGTGTAGCTAGGAGCTGTGGGGCCCTGCTTCTGCCATTGCCGTCATGTTCCCTCTCCCGCGCTACTTCTCTCTCCCCTCCCAACCATCCGCCCTCATGTTCTCATTCGCCTGCCTCCCTCGCTCCCCAACCGTGCGCTCACACCCCCCTTCCCCTCAGGGCGGCGACGTGTTCTACTTCCCCTTCTCAACCCGTCTGCCCTTTCCCCTCATGCGGCCGCTCTTTCCCGCCTCCTCCCCTTCCCCCTCTTCTCCCCCCTTCATCTGCGCCCACCTCAGGAAACGTTTTGCCAAGCCCCAGGTGGCCACTACTCCGCCCATACCTCCCTCACCTCCATGCCTCATTCCTTCCCCTTCCCCCCCCCTCCCCCCACCCTTCCTCTCCCCCCCCCCCGCAAGTTGCCGAGCTCTTGTGACATGCCATGAGTTAACACCATGTATTGCAGCCAGCCTGCTCGTGGTTCCAATGGGTAAGTGCCCATTTTTTTGTTCCTTGTTTTTCTGCCTTTGGGCATCAAATGAAATGTTGCTGACTTCCAACACCGCTTTTCTCTCTGTGCAGGTTAAATACGTACTCAGGTTTTATAAGGAGCTGTTTAAAAAGCTCTTGATAATGGTGACTGGGTCAAACATTAAACTACCAGTTGTACTGCGTATCCCACTAGGTTGTATTAATTAGAAGTCCTCGCACAAGGGTGTGGGGGTGGCGACGGCATTGGTGACGTAAGTTCAGAAGTTGATGCGAATCGCGCTCTGGTTATCGCAGTGAAGACGAAACGCGGACGAAGCTGGAATTTTCGCCTCCTGCAGAAGTTCCTGAAGGTAGAGGCCTTCGCGAACTGCTGCGGTTGCTGCGATGAATTCCTCTTCGGCTGATGACAGGGCAACCAGCTCCTGCTTCTGCGAATTCCAGGGGATTGGTCCCGTTGGTTCGAGTCGGAACAAGAAGCCAGTCCTCGACCGTCGATTGTCGGGATCTGCTGCGTGATCGGCGTCCACGTAGCCGATGAGATTGAAGAATGGGGTTGGTGCTGGCTCAGGTGAGTGTGAGCGCACGCGGCGATGACGCGACTCACATGTCATGGCCATGTTGCTCATGACATTGCGTACTGGGGCAGTCGATGACGGCTGCTGCTGCTGATGCTGAACTGCTGGGTTCAGGTTGCGCGCGGGTGGGGGTTGATACCCCTGGGCTGGACGCACGTCGCCTTGTGCATCTTGTCGGCCGGACCAGTTGCTCGGATTGGTCTGGCGAGGGCGAGATCGGGACTTGCATCGATCCGCCAAATGCCCGAAGTTTCTGCAGACTTTGCAGTAGAGGCGTCGCGGCCTTCGCTCTTCGTTGTTGTCGGCGTAGAAGGCGAGCCGTTCTCGTTCTCGTCGTGGCGCTGGTCGCTGCTGATCCATATCCCGTTGTTCGACGAGAAGGGCGGCGCAAAGGGCGGCCTCCGAGATGACCCCCTGCTGTCGGAGAAGCGCCTTGCAGGGCCGGCACTCAGGGCCGAGCCCTTGAAGTACGATATTCACGAAAATTTCTTCCGAAATCAAACTTCCCAACTTCGCGATTTGGTCGCGAAGGCTCCGACAGCGATTGATGTAGCTGTTGGCCTTCTCCCCTGGGGCCATTTTGGTTTCCAGTAGCTGCTGGAGCAGCCGGCTCGAAGAAACTGAGTCTTTCGGCTGATACACGCCGTTGAGATGGCGCCAAGCGTCGAGGGCTGGAGCGGCTGATGTTTTGTATGAGCGAATGCTCAATTGCTCCGCCGGCGACATGTTCCGCAGGAGCACCCCGTACGCCATCAGGGATTCGTTGTAGTATTTTGCCTTGGCGTCGTCGGTGTCTTCGGCAGGCTCCGTGTAACTCCCGTCGAAATAATGAAAGATTTGGGCGTTCTGCAGCAGGAGTTCCAATTCGAAGCTCCAGGTATAGAAATCTCTGCCATCAAAGCAAGTACTTGTCTTTATTTTTTATATGCTGAGAAACCTTGATTGCGTAGAGAGAATTGCCTCTTCACTGGGACGGAGAGTCTTGGGAGTTGAACCATTTGTGTCGAGGGAGAATGTGTGCGGGGCGGCGTTCTGGCCGGTTGGGGCTGGTTGAGAAGGTTGCGAGGATGTTCCAGCGTCGCCGTTCCACAATGTTTGGAGTCCTTGCTCCAAGCTGGTGAGTCGCTGAAGCTGTTGTGCGAGGACTTCGGTTCCGATCGTCGTCGTCCCCTCGCTTGTCGCAGCCGGGTTGGGTTGCGCTTTAGCTGTCAGATTCGTCTGACCGCCAGATCCTCCGGCCATTCTTACACGCGAGCGTGTGCCGGACGCCACTTTCCGAATGTCATAATTTTTGGGAGTGGGAGTGCGAAAGATTCACGAGTTGCTCTCATACCATGCTGCGATCAGAAGTTGATCGTAACCAGGATCACCTCAGGAAGGTTCGCACACTTCTAGTCTAGTGGTGGGCCCTTGACCTCAATAGCAGAGTGAATGTAAAATGCTTGAGATTATTAAAACATGCAAATACAGCAAATATAAATATGAGTACAGGGAAGATGAATCGACCTAGCTAGCCATGTACTATAAGGGGTACATTCCCTTATTCAAATTCATTCCCAACTGTCAAACGTTCTTGCTATAGTCTTTCTAGGCTGTAGTGGGGTAGACAGTATGGGGTACAGTTTCCTAGGGTTGCATATTTGTACCCAACTCATTTCCTAGTCCATCATTCCTTGTTCTTATTTTCACATGGTATTAGAGCAGAATCGTTCCTAGGGCCCACCGAACGTTCCGCCCTGCCCTAACTGATTTTTTTTTTTTTTTTTAACCGGCCCCTGCAGCTGCGCTGCCCTTGCAGCCCGCGTGCTCCACCTGCGACCGTGCTGCCCCTGCAGCCGTGCCTGCCCGTGCAGCCGTGCCTGCCCCTGCAGCCCGTGGGAGCTGCCTCTGCATCAGTGCCTGCCCTTGCAGCCCGTGGGTACTGCCCCTGCAGCCAGCGCGCTGCCCTGCCGAGCCGCGTGTCGCCCGTGGGCGCTGCCTCTGCCCTGCCGAGCCGCGTGTTGCCCGTGGGCGCTGCCTCTGCGACTCTCGTGTCGCCCCCCGCTGACCCATCGCGCTACCCTGGGGAGCCGCGCGCGACCCCCGCTGTCCCGTCGCGTCGCCCTGGGGAGCCGCGCTCGGCCCCCGCTGCCCCGTCCCGACGCCCTGGGGAGCCGCGCTCGGCCCCTCGCTGCCCTGTCGCGACGCCCTGGGGAGCCGCACTCGGCCCCCGCTGCCCCGTCGCGACGCCCTAAGGAGCCGCGCGCGACCCCCCGCTGCCCCATCGCGACGCCCTGGGGAGCCGCGCGCGGCCCCCCCCGCTGCCCCGTCGCGGCGCCCTGGGGAGCCACACGCCGCCCCCCCTCTCGCTGCTGCCCGAGCCACCCTGCAGCCCGCGAGCCGCCTCTGCAGCGCCGAGTGCGCCCTGCCAAACCCTAAAATAAATAATTCATTATTTAAAAAAAAAAAAAAAAAAAAAAACAGCTGCCCCTGCCCCCTGGAGCAGCCTCCTCTGCAGCAGTCGCCCCTGGCCCCTGGAGAAGCCGCCCCTGCAGCAGCCGCCCCTGGCCCCTGGAGCAGCCGCCCCTGGCCCCTGGAGCAGCCGCCCCTGCAGCAGCCGCCCCTGCAGCAGCTGCCCCTGCAGCAGCCGCCCCTGGACCTCTGCAGCCGCCCCTGGAGCAGCCGCCCCTGGAGCTGCCGCGGAGCCCTCGCCCTGCAGTGGTAGCGGCCTCGCCGTTGCCACCATCGTACGCCTGCCCTTCTCGCCACTGGTGAGCACTGCCCTGCCCGTACTGCTGTTACTGTTGCTCCTGCTGCTACTGCTCTTTCTACTTCTACTGCTGCTCCTGGCGTGGCCAGATGCAGCTCCAGCGCCGTCCGCGTGAGTCCCTCACGCCCCACCAGCTTCGTGAGTGGTATGCTAGTTGGGGTTGTTGGGGTGGCCGCGCCGCTACTACTGCTACTACTGCTACTGCTGCTACTGCGGCTACCACTGCTACTGCTGCTACTGCTGCTACTGCTGCTACTGCTGCTACTGCGGCTACTACTGCTACTGCTGCTCCTGGCGGTGGCCAGATGCAGCTCCAGCGACGTCCGCGTGAGTCCCTCACGCCCCAGCAGCTTCGTGAGTGGTACGCTAGTTGGGGTTGTCGGGGTGGCCGTAGTGGGAGTCGTCCTGGAGTGAGTAGTTCGGGAGCTTCTTGTAGTGGCCAGGTGCAGCTGCAGCGTCGTCTGCGCGCGGCCCTTTCGCCCCAGCAGCTTCGTGAGTGGTACGCTCAGCGTGGAGGGTCACGGGGTACTGCTCGCTGCCCGTACGTCATTCGCACTGGTGCTTGGACTGGTCAGCCTTGCGGGACGTTTGGTCACACAGAGTCCCGCTGCTTCGCCCGTCTGAGCGACGCCTGGCGTACAGAGTTTGGCGACGCGGCAGAGCTCCCCGACTGGGTGGAGCTGCTTAGGCAGAGGGTAGATATCTATGCTCTTGACTATGATGCTATCCTCACTGCCATGTATGCATTTCCTACTAGTGCTGAGGGTGCCTGTTACCTGTGTGTGCCGCCTGACCCCGGTATCCAGTCTGCTGCTCTAGGTACTGGTGAGGCTGCTGCTCTAGGTGCTCGTGCGTCTCCTGCTCCAGGTGTCGGTGAGGCTACTGCTCTAGGCGCTAGTGAGTCTCCTGCTCCAGGTGCTGGTGCATCTGCTCTCTCTGGTGCCACGCCTGCTGCGGTCTTTCACACCATCACTCTTGACTCAGGGGCCTCCCGCTCCTTCTTTCGAGACCGCACCACACTCACGCCGCTTAGTCGACCGGTTGCAGTCTCCCTGGCAGACCCCTCTGGGGGTCCTGTCCTTGCCCACTACTCCACCGTCCTACCGTCTCCGGCGGCCCCTTCTGGCTCCCTGTCAGGTATTTACCTCCCCTCGTTCTCCACGAACTTGGTGAGTGGTGCTGACCTACAGGATGGGGGGGTTGACCAGTTCACTCCTGCGAGTCAGCGAGTGACCCACTGCACGTGTGCTCGGACGGGCCGACACTTGGCCACGTTTACCCGTCAGCCGGGGTCGAGCCTGTACACACTGACTACCGAGTCTCCTCCGGTTCCTGCGGCTGGCCAGGTAGCAACGTCGGGTCAGGTGTTTGCTGCAGCGTCCATGTCTGGTCCTGAGTCTTCCCCCTACTCGTGTCGTCTCCTGTCTCACCAGACTCTCCTCTGGCACCACCGGCTTGGTCACCCCTCCTTGCCTCGTCTCCGAGGCATGGCCTCCCGTGTCCTTGTCTCTGGTCTCCCCCGGTCCCTCCCTCCCCTTTCCCCGGGGCCTGCCCCTACCTGCGTTCCCTGCGTCGAGGGGCGGCAGCGCGCCGCTCCTCACTCCTCCGAGTTTCCTCCGACAGAGGCTCC